TAACCTTAATTATATAGTTTCATTGGTTCACTAATACTCAGATAATACATACAGTGCATGCTTACTACACAAACCGATCCGTTCCCTCTTTTGTGAAAGTATCCTAACCGTAATCCACTTCGAAGCTGTCAGAAATTTGAGAACGTTACAGAGTTATCCATCCATAAATGAAGATCCAAATGCGTGCGATCTATTGTAATTACCATCGCCTGCTTTGAACTTTCGGTTAATCCACTCCACGGCAATCATTTCATCAAATGGTTTTCGAATATCGATTCAATTGGCGCTCATTTTACAGGATATAAAACCAACACGTTTGTACTAGGCAATTTTCGATTGCTATATAATGAACCTCGTCTCTAATTCGGCGTTCATATACGTTACCTGCATTTCAATGCGCATAATTAAACGCGGAAATCGCCGAATGACGAATAAGTGCGACGGATGGCAAAGAGAGAAAAAAATAAAAAAAAAAATAAAAATAAAAAAACGTCGGAGCGTCAACAGGTCGTCATTCTCTCTTGTCTCTCTAGTTTTCAAATTCATTAAATCGCGTTTAATCAATTACGCACATTCGACATCTTCTTCCGCTACTTTCCCGGCCAATTTGATCTCGTTTGATAAAACGGCAGATGTTTATTCGACGGCGAATCGACTACGCGACGATCTGGTAAATACGCGATGCATTTAATCGGTGCGCGCGTGCGATCCTTCCAAAAAGTTTCTTCCCCCTCGATGTTGATCCTGTTGCCAGAGAGCTAGAGGATTAAGCACGATACACGGACGATTGCCTTACACGATCACCAAGTAACTTTCACGTTATCGTCTCATCCACTGGCCGTTTATCCTGTGCAGCTCAGCGCCGGTTGGCCAAAGAAGAACCGACCGGAGTGCGCCAAGGCGAGAAAGCTATCGAGTTACGGAAACTCCCGAGTGTGAAGGAAACTCTTTAATGTTTTCGCCGCGTTCTCTCGTCCTTTCCCGCTGTCGGGAATTTATTTAATCGACGCAATAGCGAAATGCACGTCTAACGAATTCCGCGAATGCGTCTTCATGTTTTACACAACGCTTTAAATAGAAATCCGCAGTCCGATCGTTAGATGAATATTGAAATCTCTTTCTACTCTTTCGATTTCTCTCCTTCTCCTTAGTGTTTAATCGAGCGAAGAGGATGGGAAGCTATTTGTTGGAGTCTTAATATCGTCCAAAGATACATAATCAAATATTGAAAGAATATATATATATATATATATTGTATATATCATACTTTTCACGGAGATATTTTTCTTCAAGGATATTATTTTTCTTCTATTTCCGAGTAAATGATAGAAATAATTGTTACAATTTTCATTTTGAGATGACCTCACTTTGTAGGTTTTCGCAAAGATGTATTACAGGATACATCTGCGTAATATTGAACACGTTAAATAAAGCCAACAAAATACTGATCGTCTGAAAACTTGGCGGCAGGACTTTTATCGGATTACGAGATTCAATCCGATATACAGGAAATCATCTCGAACGATCACCGGTGGATCTTAACCGCGCCACTGGTTTTATCTCTGCTTTTTTATATTGATAGAATTACGAAATAAGGAAAAAATAAGAATATATATTCATATATACATAAGACAAAAATTTGCGTTATAAAAATATCCTGTTTATATAAGAAGAGAGAGAGAGAGAGAGAGCAGCCAAGCGCGATAACTTCACAAATGCGAAAGAGATTCTATGATATCACGACGTGTATCTCGTGGCAACGAGAAACTATGCGAAACACTCTTCCATCTGCTTTATGTAACATGTAACTATGCGAAGAGCGCGACGAAGAGACGCGTCTGTGATTCGATCCTCGAATAACGTTTAACACTGGTGGTATACCGTTTGCCGTCAATATTATACTTTTGCACGGGAAATTTTTCAAGAGCTGGAAAACTGCTCGTCAAAATTAATTAGCAGATTCCGCATGTGTGCGACGTTGCCTGAAAAAAGCTATTAAAAAGTCCTTACATCTAGGCAGCGGCCATCTTCTTTTTCCAAACAGAGCTATTTATATAGCGGTCCCCATTACCGCTGGAGATTAAAGAGCGCGAAGGCGCAATGGACAGACTGAAAAATGTAGGAATCTCTCAAGTAGAAACGGGATTACTCACGTTTAAAATTCCCCGACGGACAAAATCGCCGCCACTTCGATCCTTCCAGAATTACAAGACCACCGGTTTTATTTGGACAAGTGTAAGAGAACTGTAAGAGGGCAGGCTAGATAGAAAGACCGCAAAAGTCTATCAAATAACCAAGCGGAAGGTGACCTATTTGGAATTCGTCGATGGTTAAAATGATCGCTCTGAATATACTTGTGCCTTAAAGAATAACCGCGGAAGTTATTGCCTAAAAGTCGAATAATACAAGATCGAAAGAGAAAGAAAAAGATGTAAGAATTATTTATTATTTTATTGTTTTGTTTACACACACACACACACACACACACGCTATTATTTTTATTATATCGTAGGCTTAAGCTTCAAAGAAACATTATGCTGATGCCTCACCTTTAAAAATGCATCTCTTCCCTTACTTTATTATAATAATAATTATTTAATATATTTGTTTAAAATTAGTTGACGTTCAAAAACTATCGTTTCAATATTTGCAACTTTAAGAAAAGATAATCGTCAGAGATAATAGTATAAAGTTATAACGGTTGAAAGTCGAATAAGGGCGGAATATAGGTGAAAGGATAAAATAATGTGTAAGTCAATCGAGAGAGTAAATTTGGGATTTTACGGCAACCGAGAATTCGAGCGAGCAGTGGAAATGACCGTTCGCTCTCGCTCGTCTCCGCGGTGTTAAATTACCGCCCTTATTTGGACAAGTACGAAAGATCCTCCGCGGATGCGAGACCGAAGGGATTTAACGCTAGGATCCCGTTACCGGGACAAAGGATTAAAGCTCGATGCACGGACGATCACCAACTAACTTTCGCCTTATCCTCCCATTTCCCGTTTCTCGCCGCAAGCTCGCCGGCACTCGCCGTGGTAACGCCGTGGCGGAGTGAGCGCAGGGGCGAGAAACCTGTCAAGTGCAATAACTCGAAATGCGAGAGAAATTCTTTCGCTATATACAGACCGCTCCTTCCCCGAGTGCGAGTGGCTGCACGAAACGCCCTTCCTCTTATTCTTTTTACGCCTTTTTTGACGTAACGCGTAGGAGAAGCCCATTACGCCGCACCACCAGTACCATTGCGAGCGAGTTGATACCGAGCTTATGCTTCAAATAAGGAATAATACTCATCCCGAGATTTCCCGAGTACCAGCGCTGTAGCTACATATCTCGAGTAGCTACACGTCGCAAAGGCTGTGGCATACATTAATTACGTTCGTTAACATAATGCTGTTTCTTTTACTCGCGATTTAGCTCTGAAATTACCTTATATTGCACGTTGTCACTGAAATAGTACCGTCATATTGACATTGTACTCATAATTTCGAGATCCGTTGTACGTCACATATGTGATGAAAAATAGGAAGAAAAGTTTAAATAAAAGATGTAATACTGTGCACAGATATAGACTATCCTCGATTATTTGTTAAGCTTTCTAAAATAGCATACATTTAAAGTATGCTATTTTAATATTACATTTACGTTTTTTCGAATACAATACAGTATACATATACCATAGAGAAATATCCAAGTCAATTGTATACATATATAATATGACAAAAAACATCGTCAATGAGAGTCGGAATTATATCAGAGACCTGTTATTTTATTTTAATTCAATCAGAGGAGAAATGAAGTAGAGATTTGATTTATATAAATAAAATATATCTCTGGGATTCTCTCCCTGGCAAATGTCATTGGGCGGTCTTGCAGGACAATCGCGGGACGACGGACTCTCCTTACACTCTCCGGCCCAACAATGGACGTCGTTCGGGCCACTCGGAATTTCGGATTTATGGCGAGGAGCATATTCCATACGGCGGCGTCCAAGAAGCGTACCGTACGTACGCCCGCAATTCCCCCATAAATTCGAAAATCTCGAGAGTCGCGCCGGATACTCCCCGAGGGATCGCCGGTCGATCCTATTACCGGGCCACAGGATTAAGCCCGATGTACGGAAGATCGGTCCGAACGATCGCCAACTAACTTCCGCGTTATCCTCTCGTCCGCCGACCGTTTTTCCCGCAGCTGAGAGACCCGAGATCGTGGTGGTAGCGCGGCGCGCGGTGGTGCGGTGCAGCGCGGCACGGCGCGATGCGATGCGGTCGAAAGTGAGACGACGACGACGCGATACGCCGGACGCCACGAGTCCAAGAGGGACGGACGGCAGCTTCCGTCCGCGCTCCTCCGAGCGGAGCGTATTTCGCCAATTTCGTTAGCGCCCGCACGGACGCGCGAGCGCGCGCGCGCGCGCGCTCCCACCACCCTCTTTCGCGTATATTGCACCTATACACATATACACACACACACATATATATATATATACGCGTATACGCGACAAACGCATACTCTCGCCGAGTGTAGAAGCGAGAAATGCGCGCGTACATACGAGAAACGCACCGAGAGAGTGGTTCTCGCGCTAGAAAGAGAGAGATGGAAGATTTTGCAGCGATCATCGACTTGGAGAACAGCGCAGTCGCCCAGGAAGCAACTCGAACTCACTCACCCTGCCCTCTCTCCCTCCGTTCTTCTCCTCTTCCTGCTCTCCCAAACCCCCTCGACCTCTACCCGATCGTTCCATCCTTCTCACGCTCTTTCCACCCCGCGCTGCCAGGTGGTCTTCCGCCCTCCTCGAGCGCCGCCGCCACCATCGGCACAACCACCACCACCGCCAGAACCACTGCCATCACCTCTACCACCACCAGCACCACACTCAGCAGCGGTACCAGCAGCGGCAGCAGCAGCAGTAGCAGTAGCACTAGTAGCAGCAGCAACAGCACTGCCGTTCGCTACCACCTCCACGACTTTGTCGCATCTCTCTCTCTCTCTTTCTGTCTCTCTTTCTCTCCCTCTCTTCCTCTGTCTCTCTCCTCTCCCTTTCCCTCATACATCGGTGTGCGCACCCCCGTTCCCCTTGACTCGCCGCACCAACCCTCTCTCGCGCGCGCCTCGGCGCCTCGTCCTCCTCCGGTGCCGATGCCGCAGTACCGACTGCTTTCCGCGGAAGGTGGAAACCCGTGTAACGCAGCCGTATATAGATTTTCAATTAGTCAAGGGGCGGCCGTGGAGAAAATTATGTGTCGCGTGTCACCACGAGTCGCCGCAAGTACTTGAAACACTCGTCGCTGCCGTCACAATTCGCCGCTGTCAGCATCATACTCTTTGGATTTTACCGACGCAATTCTCGTTTGCGCGCGCGAGTGCGAAGCCGCGTGCATCTCTTGCGCGCGGGTATAACCGCGTTGCATCGCGCGCGTGTTCTCTCCTTCGTTCGCTCGACTGGCCAACGTGGAAAGATCGATTTCCCACCGGCGACTCTCCAACGAATTCGAAACGTTTGGAAAAAAAAAAAGTATAAAAAAGCGCGCGTACGAGTTCGCCGCGGCCGAGTGTTTACCAGGATCACATTGTGGTCTCGGTCCTTTCCTCTTCTCCCATCCGTCCTGTGTGAGGAGCGATGATAACTCGTCGCCAGTGACGACGGTCGCGGGAGTTGGGAGATAGGTCGATCTCCTTTACCTGCCGCCGTCGTGTTGCGCTGTGCCGAGCGCCGAGCGCCGAGCGCATCATCGTCGCGGAGCGTTCCCGACGATCCTGGAGAATCACTCGCGGGAGCGAGGATGTTGCGCGCGGCCTTCGCCGTCCTACTGCCCCGGCTCCTCGTATTGTCGTCGCTGCTGATCCATTCAGGTACGCGATCGGTCATATTTCTCACAGATCAAGTACAATATATTACACAGCGAGTCGCGGATTGAGAGAGATGGATTTGTCGCGTCAAGTATATTCCAAAGCGGCACTCCGTTCTTCTCAGATAACCGTGTACAAGTTTTACAATCAAATAAAGTCGGGTGCGACGTCCTGTTAAAGTCTCGGGGTGGATTCTTAGCGTCGAAATTTACGAAAGAGCGATGAGAAAGAAAGAGAGAAAGAGAACAGTAGTCAATCGTGCAAGTATCTAATAATTAATAAGAATGATAAGATATGCGGTGGACAATTTTAATCGCGAAAAAATTTTCAAATGTCCTTAACAAAAATGTAATGTCGAAAAGTGATTAATATTTATTTTGAGTATCAAGAGTTCAATGATTTTTTAATATTCAAAATAATTATATATATATATATATACAGAGAGGGAGAGAACGCTTTTGCTCGAATATTTAAAAACTTGGCTCAAGTATCTAATAATTATGTAGGGAACTCGAGCTATCTGCAAAAAAAATTGACATTCCGACATCAGCTTAAATGAACGTCCCTATACATAATTATTTTGATAATACGATAAAATTCTTTATAAATCTGTATCTAGTCTCTAGCTACATTTTCAGATATCTACTTCAGTTTTCGTACCTTTCAGTATCTATTAAATTGCCTAGTATCGAATTGTATTTCTATAAAGGATATAGAAATACACAAATTAGAGAATTACATCATACGGTTCAAATAACTTTCAATGAGATTACATAAGATTTCATTACAAGTATAATATCCCTAATCGTAGAGAGGAAATGTAGTTACTATTGCGAATCAACGTTGGCATGACAATAACCGAATCTACATGAATAAAGCCCTCGTAAGAGACATCGAAATCCATTTTTCGACACGCGTACGCGCATTTGACGTGCCAGGCATATTTTGATTGTTTGTCCAAGTTCGATAGCATGAATCGCTTCTGATTTGCGAATTAAAGTGCCTGCCGTTCGAAAAAAAATAATTTCAATGCGACGCGACGACGTATCGGCGGCATTCATTATACGACAAGTGAATTAGTAAATTAACGTTATTTGCCCGCTAATGCCCGATGTCAATTTCGCAATTATCTTCAAATTGTCCGATTAAATCGTCGACGGAGGAGCACCGAATGTACATGTATACATCGACAAATGCATACCTTGTGCACGGCTCGTCTAGCTTGCTCGCGCGCGGCAAAATGCAACGTGACATGGAAGAATAAAAACCAGAAGAATAAAAGCTAGGCGAATAAAAGCTAGTACACAAAGCGCGCCATGCATTTATGTATATCCATGCAAAGCGCCGGGAATAACAATATCTAGTCGCGCACGAAAATACCGGGAGACCTCTTCGATCCGCGATAAACAAAAATTCGCGAGTCGATATATAATTGAATTACATCCAAGTTATCGGCTGACACAGAGAGAGAGAGAGAGAGAGAGAGAGAGAGAGAGAACCTCGAAGAATCAAATGGAATTTAAAACGGTTGCGTCTCGGTTTACATAGCGACGAGTTGGCGAATTATTATTTTCGTTCAGCTCGAATAAATTGGAATAACAGTCAGCCAGAAAAATCGCCAAATCTATTCTCCCTCGCACGAATTCGGACCTTTTTTCCTTCGCATTATATCGTCCAATCGAAGCCGGACCGCGGTGTGTTTCGCTTTGAAATTAGTTCGTTGATTTAACTCCTCCTTCCCTCCCCCTCTGCGTCTGGTATCGAGCGCATTTTTAGTATCCACGACGAAACTTTGTTTTAAGTTCGTACTTAATTAAAACATTCGCCGTGCGATCGCGAGAGGCACGGCAGCCGTCTTTACCTATGAAATAGTGAGTTTGTGGAGTGTATAACTACTGTTTGCGAATCGGTCGAGATAATGGAACGGTTGGTGGCGGCTTCGAACAAACCATTGTCGTTCGGGAATTGCCCTTTCACCACGCTTCGCCGTACGCATCGATCGCCATAAACAAAATTCCGAGATTGTCACTAAAGAAATTACAAAATCTCCCCATGGCCATTTTCAGCCTTCCGTTCGTCGTTCGTCTTTTATCGAACTCACGACTGCTCTCTCAACGGTACGTTGAAATTAGTTCGCTACTTTAACCCCATTTTCTTTTGGCCCATGTATTTTTAGCGTGCGTCGCACGAAAATTTAGTACCATCTCATATTTAATTAAAACACTCGATACGATCGCGACTGCGTCTTCGCGTATGCGCAACGGTGAGTTTGCGGAAGGCAACTCTAATCGTTTGTAAATCGATGGACGAGGGCAGAGGTAATGGGACGATCGACAGCTTCAAACAGCGATTATCGTTCGGAAATTACCCCCTTCAGCTCGCAACTATACATCGGCCGTGCAGGCCGGAATGAACCCGCGATTTAGCGCGTCTTACCAGCCGGCCGGCTGCTAAATGTGCATTGTCACGTGACGTTCGTACAAAGGTAATTAAGATTTCCGAGAATGTCATTGTACAGAAAACATGTGTTTGTGTTAAAACCGGTTCTCAATCTTAATATTAAAATTATTATGTTGAATCTTTAATAATCCATGTATTAATTCAACATAATGTGATTGCGTTATTTGAATTTCTGCCACGCAAAAAAATATTTCGCTGTTCCAGCTAGAATTATCGCTGTTTTTTGTATCTGATAGAAAATTACGTGCCATACGCATAGAATTTATAACACAAATCTATAAATTCTATCTCAGTCAACTATGATTAGATGCGTATCCAATATCGCAGTACACACTTGCTAGAAATTTATCTATTTCAACTAATTCTTCGTACTTGGATAATTTTCGCTATGACAGCAAGATAATTTTTTTGAGTGATGTTAAATTGATATCAACATTTCTTGGTATTAAAATAACATAATTTATGCGCAAGTGAACGAATAGCGTAAAAATAATGTGTTTCGAAATGTAAGACAAATGAATAAAATACGCATGTTAATTTAATATATTATAAATATTAATTTGACTGAAAATACATGTTATTTCTAACCGACCACTTGTCGTGTATCTTGCTTTATTTGCAATATGCATATATGTGCCGAGGTTATATTATCTTGAAGCGCGCCGATCTGCGTATTCGAATCGCGCGTTTGCAAATTATTATTATCGTGTTTGCGAGAATTAACATATCGTGGCTGCGCACACTTTTCGATGATACGCGTGGTCGGTTATCGGATGACTAGGCTATTCGTACAAATGTTTTCGCTACATTATACATTCTAAAATTTACATATCGGGTATGTTCACATGAAAGAAAATATCTCCCACCTCATGATAACTATTTTAAAGAATGAAAGTCGAACGAGTCTAATTTGGCAGAACGACACTAATATCTCATCGTAAAAAACGGAATATCATAAATATATGTAGCTATATATATGCAAAATATGATATTTTCGAGTCAAAATAACAGGACATCTGTTATTTATTACAACTCTCTAAATCTGAATCAGTGGATAATCACTGATATCAGTGCCACTGGTAATCAGTGAATTAAATGTGAGATCCTTAACCTAGCTAATCTTTATTATGTGATCTAACCTTGTTTTAGTGCTTAAATTCAATGAATACGGTATTGGAAAATTGAAATTAACGTGAAGATATCAGTACACTTTAGTTATGTAAAACATTCTTTCTTTTTTAGTTGAACTTCACTGATTATCAGTGCCAAGTATGCCACTGGGTAATTAGTGACTATCCACTGATTCAGATTTAGAGAGAACGATCCAATCTTCTTAATTTCGTGCACTGCCGAGAGTGGAAATCAAATATTTATAAATTAATCGTCAAATTTTATATTTTATCCTCAAATCCACCACGAAGTATCCCCACTCGCGCGGAGAAAACGACCATTTACGAAATCCTCTCTGAAATCCATGTAGCGGCGAGCCTAAAATAACGACGATAGTCGAAAAAAAAATAGCCCGCATTTGCATCCCCTAGCCAACAAGCGTCACGAATTATTCAAAGTATTTCATACCAAAGCGAATCGTGGAAATTTTATTCGTACAGTAGCGGAAAGAGAGAGAGAGAGAGGGAGAAAAAAGCAAGCCATGCGTTTAACCCCCGCATGCGCCTCGTTAAACGCATAAACTCGCCTGGCATTAGCGCGAGCGGGCGACGTAGCGTAAAAACGTCAGGACGACCAATATCGCGGTACGACAATTAGAGAGTCGAAATTCTCGGAACGCTCGCGGAGGAGCGTCGGTGCAGGCATTTGGCCATCGACCGGTCAACGCGAGCGGACCCGATTTCAAAGTTAAATCGAGTTTGAACTTTGAACCGCGATCGCGGCGTTGGAACCAAAACCCCGATGGCAAAGTGTGTGTGGAGCTGAGAGTTAACGCGCGCTATCGCGGCTCGCCCGGTCCAAGCCGAAAGAACACGACTTCTCGCTTATCGTCGTCACTTCGCGGCCGGTGTGGCGTGGCGTGGCGTGGCGTGGTGTGGTGTGGTGTGGTGGTTTCCTTTCCTTCCAACACGACAATGACGACGGCGACGACGGTCAAGTGTCTCGTCGAGGACCTTTTCCACCATCGGCACCGTCGCGCGGTTCTGCGTCAAGTAATCTACGTTACGACGTCTCGTACGAGGATTTTGTTCGGGATAGCGTCCGCGAAACTATATTACAATGGATCGTTAACCCAAGTACCATAATTGGCTCAATTTCCAATAAAGCCCGGCGAACGGCGGGGACTCTGTACGGTTACGGCTCTTCGTTTAAATAAAACAATACCACGCACACTCTCTTTGCTCCCTCCCCGCTCTTCTCCCCTCTCGTCCCGTCTGCTCGAATCTCCATGCAAAACAGTAATCAAAGATACTACATTTTTTATCGCGCGTTCCGCGCGCAACGTCGCGCATAATTTAATATATAAAACGTTCGGCAAACTTAATTATGTTCTGACGAGATTTATTAGCTTGTCACACGAATGTCTCGTCATT